GCACAAGCGGATGACATGTGCAGACTTGTCAAGCTGTTCCAACACCGGCATCGCCTATAGAGCAGGTCGGTGGATAGGTGTTGACAGAAAAAAGTTAGCCATGCAATCGCACCCCTCAAACCACATACTTTGAGTAAGTATCGAATCTGAACCTTGTCTACAAGGAGTGGAGTAGAAGGTAGACTCCAACCTAGGGAACCGCTTAAAGCAAATTCAGCAGGAAAAAGCTTTTCTAAGAGGGAGCACGGAGCAGCCACATTTTCACTGAGTGCCAACTCTGGTGAGCACCCAGTAGCGAAGGGATACAAATGACTGAGTAGGCGACGTCGCAGACACAAAGAACCCTGAATATACTGTTCCACCGCCTCGTCGGCGAGTCTGAACACGTTTACAAGGGAGCAAGAGAGTGGTTCCGATTAGTCAACTTCAAGTAATTAAGAAACAAAAATCTAACAATAGTAATAGTTGTGACTAACCCGGACCACAACAACGCAAGAAAGGCACAGATGTAGAGTGCATTTACATCTCCCGGCCACCAGTATCCATTATTAAGGACTGAGTCTGGTCGTCTATCAACCTGATCGTCTTGAAGAACATTTGGAAGCCCTTTCTTATCGATATTACCGAAAGCGTTTGGCGCAAGGCACTTGCACAAGGTTAACAGCTCCTTACACTGTAGTATTAAAAAAACAGTAAAGGTTACTGACCTATACAACACCTTAAAGAACAAAGAAAAGCATTACCTGAGCGCCAAGTAGAAGGTGTTTCAAAATGGGAGCAACGGTTTCACCGTTTTTTAGCACAGGACAAAGAAGTTTTTGAAGAGCCGTAATGATTGTGAGGGAATGTGTCCGCCAAGAGAACAGACCTGTTCCCACCGAGACACCAGAGAAAATCTCAGGAGCAGAGAGAATGAGCTCTTCAAAGAGACTCAGGCCGCAAAGATGAAAACGCATCCTAGTGGGAGTAGAATAGTAACTGCTATGAAGAAACTCCTTTGAAGATGTGAGATCCATGGAGCGATCCGCCATACCGAGAATCTTGAGATGCGTCCACGCCAAAGACCTAAATTCAAATAAGAAGATAGTACTCAACAGTTATAGCAGCACAATTTGGAGACAGCAAGCCGCTCACAGAAAACTTGGACCTGATGGAGACACAGTACGAGTCGTGGTGAGCCATTGGATGAAGGCAAGGCATCGATAGATTTGCTGCAAATTACTCTCTATCCGAGAATATTCGAGCGAGGTGGCAAAGTGGTGGTTCCAATGACGCCAAAGAAGGTGCATCGCGACACAGAAACGTAAGCTAGTGCTTGTTGTTTGCCAAACACCTTGACGCAACAGTTCCGCAGACAGACTTGATCCAAAGCCCAGAAGGCACGAGGGGCGTTGACAATTACCTTTATAAGCCGTAACATCACCTGGTAAATTTTGACGAAACGCTAGGTTAGTAAATAAAATGTGGCTGAAGTTAATAATTTCGTGCTGTACCATCTTCGACCTCTTCTTCCAACTCAGTGGCAATAGCCTCGAATAGATTTGATGTGAAGAGGGACTCCAGAAACCAATTAAACGCATCATATATTTCTTCTACGGTGCCATCCTCTTCCCAACCGAACAGGTGATTAGCTGGCAATTCGGCTCTACAATTTAATAACATTGCTGCTGATAGGCTAAAGCAAGAATGTTGGTAAATACAAGTGCAAATAGGACCAAATCATGGTTTAAATTATTTAACAAAAAAATAGTTTAAAGTCCTTTTTCTGAACTAGTTTATAAACTGTAAATTGTACAAAGGAGTAGAGCAGTCATGGGAATTCCTTTAACAATTGGGGACTTATCTACTCGACGTACGAAACGTCACACCGTAACAAAATATCTGATCTCTTGACTGCTGTAATGCAGAGCAAAATGGCACAGTTGTAAGCCAATTGGGAGCGTACTCACAGAAGTTTATTTAGAATGACTTCAGTATACTGGAAGTTTGCAGAATTCTCGCAAATCTTATGTTCATGCTCCAACCAAACTTGGGATTGCGTGAGACCCTTGACAATTCGGCAACAACGAGTCACAAGACACTCCCGAGCAAGTCGTTTGGCAGCTCGGTGGTCCGGTGGCAATGCTCCAAGATCTAGAATGAGATAGAGAAGGCAGCAAGAATTGAAAATCATGATGTGATAGCATGAAGAAGCTAGGATAGAATGACAGCTTACCTGAATCGATATGGCTATAATTGGACAGAGATGGATTCAAGAGAACCTCCTCCGTTGGCTGAAGACGTCGTGCCACGGAGAGGCCAGAACGATGCACAACGACAACATCTCCATTGGCCTCCACACAGAACAACCCAAGCGGCTCAGAGGCTCGTTGGTGGTAATCCACGATGATTTGATGAAAAGTCTTCAAGAGGGTTTGGAATTCGGGAACGGAGAGTGACGGTCGCAACTGGCGTTTATACCAGTGAAAATTAATCAGTATTGAAGTGAAAGCGAATGGAGAGAGTTGCTAGAATCTACTCACGAATGAAATGAGAGCTTGGCTGATTTCATTCTTCATAATCGCCACACCATTGTCTGCAGAAGGGCACTCCTGCGGCAGGTGATGCGACTGCTTCAAGGACTAGAAACAATGATGTAAGCAAACCAGACGGCGCTTTAGGTATAAGTGGAGCGTAGACCAACCTTAAAGGCATTGTGAATTGCCACTTTCGCAAAGCGACCAGGAGTGAAGATAAAATCCATGAAGGCGGCTAAGTCAACACCCTTCTCGTCTGTATCGTCGGAAACGTCAAGCTCGTCATTGAAATGGTGCTCAGAGATGAAAATCGATTGGGGCAACGGTTCTTGCCATAATTGCATGTGGGAATATCCTGTCAAAGGCGACGTAGGTATAAGAGAAAGATTGGAACCATCTGAATCATACTTATTTAATTGCAACGTAGAATGAATACATTCCTCCTCATTTGGCGCATCCACCACAGACCACACATCTACAAGCAGACGAAAAGTCAATTATACGAATGTGAACATACTCAAGGTGGGTAGCGTTACTCCATCCAAACTGATATCCATTGAAGCATCCGAAGCATTGGATTTATCACAAGACAGAAACGGAACGAAATCAATTAGCGAACAAACTCCAGGATTAAAACAAGCCTGTGGATTTGCCATTTGTTTAATGGGATCAACGCGAACAACATCAAAGACGATTCTATTTTCACAACTATTTAGTCGAACCCAAATCCAATAGGTCATCTGAATAGGTGGCAATGGAAC